GCCAGATCCGCTCCCTTGTTCGCGCCTGGTTCCACAGCATCCGGTGCGAGTGCGCAAGGGCTGACGGCTCCGACTGCTCCACGGACTCGGAGGTTTGCGAACAGCTTCTTCGGGAAAGAGCCGAAGAGAAGGAGAGGGAGCCCCGTGCTCAGACTGCGTGATGCTTGGAGGGAGCCCCCACGGCTGCCCCCTGGTGCCCAGGGCGGAGCGGGCTCGCCGAAAAGGATCACCCAAGCATTCTCTGTCGCCGGCTGCTCGCAAGACGGACAGGCAAGAACCGGGGCATTCTGGGGTATTCTGGCCAGGGTCGTCGTCGTCACGTTTGCGGCTGAACGATGTCAGAGTTTCCTGCGCGAAGGCTTAGCATCGACATGTTCGGTGCGCATGGCATCCCACGCGCGCGCACCGGAAGAGACAGAGAGACAGGCACATCGAGAGGGAGAGTGGAACACAAACAAAGATGAATGTAAAAAGAGAGCGGGAGAGACACAAGCACACCTTGCGTTGTCTATTTCGCTTGTTTCTTTGCTCCTCCCTGCTCTCTGTCTCTCTGTACTCTCTGTACTCTCTATTCATACTCGGCCGGCGCGAACAGCGGAAGCCAGGCTGTCTCCCTCACGGCATGGCGCCAGCAAGCAGGAAGTGAGCGAGGCGCGTAGGAGTGAAGACATGAGCTGCTGACTGCACTGAGACCTCTCGAGTAGTCTCCCAGACAGCGTCCCACGACTGTTGAAACGCATGCTACACATTCCTCCCCTCTCACTTCGCTGGGGTCACATCTGCTCTAGCCGCAGCTTTGCTCTGCTCAAGACGTTTTGCTGTTTAGAACTACTGCGAGACGTGATGGATAAAGGTGGGGCATCTCGCAGTATGTTGCTGTACTTCTAGGGCAACTGCAAGGTTTGAGCCGCGATCAGGCTATGACGTCTACGAGTACAGCCGCAAAGGCGACCTGGAGAGCCTGCGCGAGGCGCAGCACATCCGTTTCGCCTTCCATGTGGGTAGTTCTCTATATTGGGGTCCCTTGTAGGGTCCTTTTTGTTAAAAGGTTCCCTATCATTTATTTGAGGACCTGAAAGGGACCCTAATATAGGGAACTAGCCATGTTGTAGCCACTTCGGCACATCGCGTCTTGAAGGCTCTAGATTCTGGCATGAAGCCCGACGAGTACATGGCTTATGATGGCTCCACAGCCTTAGTAATGGCCGCATTTGCCCCAGCAACGGCAGCGGCAGCAGCAGCGTTTCGTGTGTGTGTGTGTACATTATATGCATATATATATATACACATACATACATACATACTGCAACTCTGCATGGGCGCATGTTCAAGAAACCAGGCCAGGAGTGGCCACGGGCACATAGTCAAGGAGCTGCTCGCACGAGGTGGTAATCCGCAGGCTGGTCGTATCGCTTTTCATCGCTTCGAACTATTTCGAGATTCGCTTCACTGGGCCCTCAACCCTCAACCCTAAATGCTGCACGCAAGGTGCGAACAGAAGACGGTTCGACCCTGCTCCACCATGCTGCTAGTGGGAACAGTGCAGAGGCCGAGCCGCAATAATAATATTGCCACGAATAATCTTCTTGTTATCATCATCATAGTAGTAATAAAAATAACACTAATTCCAACACTAACAGACTAGCACCAACACTACGACGACGGCGGACGACGACGACTACTACTACTACTGTTACTACTGCTAGTACTGCTAGTACTGCTGCTGCTACTGCTACTGCTACTACTACCTCTACTACTCCTCCTCCTGCTGCTGCTGCTACTACCACTACCACTACCACTACCACTACCACTACCACTACCACTACCACTACTACTACTACTACTACTACTCCTACGTACTCCTACTCCTACTCCTAC